CACGTTGCCGCTGTGACTCCCAGGCCACCCTATCGAAACAAGGACCAACGGACTGACTTGGACTCTTCTTTGAGGAGATTAGCTGATTTGATTCCGAATTGGATATACCCATAATCGCGCTAAGGCTGGACAAGTGTTACGGTGAGTGGCCAACATACAGCAATGCAAAAACGGTGTGCTTCAGTTTGTTTGATTGGATTCTGACGTAGTTGTTTGCTCCGGGACTACATTCTTTAGATACAGATCATTAAAGACTTGCATTGATTCCTTTTCTTCTGCTCTATCTCTATTGTTATTACCGTGGTATCTGCTACTGTGCTGCAGTTTACCTCGGTAGATGCCGGTCACAACTTTGGAATCCTCAGAATCAAACATAGATCCTAAAGATTACATTGTAGGGTTATTTATGACCCACTGGAAGATTGAATGACATTTATCATTCCATCTCATGGAGCCTCGCTTGCTTCGACATCCACCAGGTTTCCTAAGTCTGTACTATGGCATCTTCATCAAACAAGCAGTCATCTTCTACCGGCAAAGCTTCTCGCCTCGATGGATCCGGTAACTTCCGTTGCAATTTGCATATGCTCATTGAGCAGCTGGAATTGACCGATGCGCGAATGCGTAGGATTGGAGCGCAACTTGACGAGATAAAGACACTCGTATTGTCAACAAGAAATACTATCCAGGATCTCGAAGGAAAAATTCGTGCTGTTGGAAAAACAATAGTATTTCGGGGCAGAATGATGGCCTAAGAGCAACCGCACAGGCTCATTCAAGGAGTGCGGAAGGTATAAAATATTATTCGTGGTCGTGATAAAGGCCGTGGACCTCAAGAGCCCGCTGAGAAACTTGTCCCTCCTCTCAGAAAAGAACGAAGTGAGAACCAACTATCGTTTCCAAACAGAGGGAACACCGTGGTCGCGCAGCCGGTGATTCTCCTCCGCAATATGAGGACAAAAGGTCTTTTGTTAGACTCTTCACCTTGTGCCTAGAAATATGAATATATATATTTAGAGATGTATGCAAATTTCTCCTTCCGGCTCCCTGGTGATTGCTCCGGCAATACACTCGCTTTTTACTACGCAGAGATATATGTATACATGACGAGAGCAGTATTCTTTTCATATACTGGCAACAAGCCATCGCCTTAGACTGACCGGAGAGGGCGTGTTGCTTCTGTCAAACATGTTTGCTATTTTCCTCAATCCGAACTAATTTCTACAACTCTAGCACTAATGTGTGTATGGATATATATCGTTCGAAACTGATAAAATTCTTGAAGTCTTAAGTGAATGTAACACCGATAGTTGTATCAACAAGAGAACTAACAACTCGACCAGAAAGGACCTAGAAACGGCGCGGTTGACTACTTTTCAGCGTGGAGCATTACGATTATATGGTCCATTATTATTGTGTATGCATATGAATAAAGACTAGATAGAAGCTTGAGTAGATGCTGCTTTTCTAATTGTGTTGAGCCACAATCAAGTATCTACCCCTACCCGTTATTTCCACCCAAGGCGAGCGACATAACCCATAACCCGAGATGTCACGGTGCCCTGAAATAAGTCTACAATATATCTATTCGAGCGAACGACACCCCCAGACAGGCGATTAGTGCCTGCGTAGGACAAGATACATCAAATTGCATTGCCAGTACCAGTCACTGGCGTCGTAGTCGACGAGTATTTCAAGTGACATCAAGTACGACACGAACGGGACACGTAACTACGACCAGGCTTCGTAATGAACTTAGACCGGGGGTGGTACAAGGATAGGATTTGGAATAAGTATCAACAGGGAAGCTAAATCTGTACAACATGATAAGAACGGGAGTGTGAATAAACCTTCCTTTTTCAATGATTGACGTGTAGGAGCTCGTATCGGGGATGTATCATAGAAGGTTCTGTTGTCTGTGTTGATTGGCCTGACGCGCTTGCCTCTAATGTCAGGCTCATCACAGGCAGGAGTCTGTGATCCGCTGTCACATTTAGTGCACACATGTTAGGAGGTCGATCATCCCTTAGCTCCCTGCTCACAAAAGTACTATTCCAGGGCAAAGGTCTTGTTCCTGTACTTTTGTTGGTCGGCTCGGCTTGAGGTGTTCATGCATGTTCTACTGTTCATCTAGGTTCTATCTGACGAAAATCGGTGGCGGTACTTTTTAGACGTTCGTCTTCGATCGACAGTTGAAACTTCGCGTTGTATGCAGGAAATCATGCATTTAGTCTGCCTTTTGCGCCTAGGGCTTGAGTGCCTATTGAGTGGCTTTCTGACATGCTTGACTAGGGACGTACTGTACTATACGGTGGCCTACTTCCTAGATGAGGTGGCTTAGGTATAGAGTTGATATGCATACCTGAAGCAGCTTAGGGTAGGATTTGCTTTTGATTTGAATCACTCCGCTAAAAGATAGTCATGTACAGTGGAAAACTTCATCCAGTGGACTTTAGATGTATATTCTACTTCAAGTGGAGCATAGTCATCAAGAAGATAGGATAGGGGTTGCATAGACTAATGAAATTGTAAATCGACAAGTCAATGGCTCCCAAAATTCAATTGACACTCCCAAGCTAAAGTCAATTCCCCCTCTGTAGGGACAGACATCTAGCGTGTACTATTCGACAGAAGCAACCAAGGCTGCACACGTGACCACCAGATCGAGGAATTTGTCTAGACCGCTGCAGGGGAAATCCTCTTAATCACATCGAGCATTTCCGAAGAGCCCAGAATCAATGAATCAGCAAGGCGAAAAAAAGTACATGTGCAATTGTACAGGTCCAGCTGAGAGACCAAAAGTCCGCGGAACTCGGCTAGGGCAAGGAAGTGGGAACAGAGAAGAGAGGCAGGGGTGCTCACATGATCAAAAGGGGAATCGATAGTGTGAAAATCCTTGCAAAGACGAGATGTGATTCGTGTCCACTCCGCGGAACTTTTGTTTCATTCCCGTCACCGCGGCACCGGATTACTTTCCGTTTGCCACTGGGAATTAGGGCGATCGTTCCTGTTGGTTAAACAGATGTAATTCCCATACACATTCTATTTACTGTAGACACTAATGTACTCCATAATATCCTTAACTTAGTACCGTGGAACTGGACTGCTGTTCCGCGGCTCCCCCAGTGGGGCCCCCGAGAAACAGGCGATTCACTCTTCTGATTGGAGCGCGGATATCCCATTCAGCTGCCGGACCAGCTCCCAGCTCCCAGGATTTGTCTCTATCTGGTACACACTAGACAGAAACGAGATATGCAAGGTCAGGTCTGGAGTTCGGATCGCGTCACAGCTGCATTGCACAAAAGTACCTGTCAAATCTAGTGTCGATGTATGCATAGGATCTGGAGAACAATCTCCCGATCCTATATAATGCCATAAAGAAGTTTAGATCGGTAATCTTGCCGCCGACAGTAAAGCCGAAGATGTACATACGTACTGTACTTTTAGCCTCGGACCCATCTAGGACCTCGGGAGCTGGTCGCTTTGTGTACTTCAGCTCTAAGCTGATGGGTCCCACCTTCAAGTGCCCGGTATGAAAGGTGGCAAAAGTCTCAAGGTGGGTATGCTGTCATCTTCATTAGATCCAAACCGACATAGACCGAGGTATCGTGTAACCTGTCGCAAGCACAATTTAGCGCAAGGTTCCAGATCGTAAAGGGAGGGGAAAGTGGACTGCAGTGACGCTCGACAGCGCGATAAACTTCCAACCTTCTTTCCTCTCGATCGATCGGGGAGGCTAAGGGGAACTTACACAGCTCTCAAAGTACACATCGCAAAAGGGACGGCATGATTGTGGCGCCCTGTTGGCAGAGTAGGAATGGACCCGGACAGTGAACCGAAAAAAGGCCGAGAAGCGAAATGGGAAGCTGCATAACAATCCAAATAGAGATCATGATCGGTTTGCCGGGAAACAAAGGAACCAGAATGATCCGCAATGTGCATACTTCTACAGTATCAGAGTCCTTGTACATACAGCTTGCGAGGGGCGATGTTCAAACCCTTGTTCTCTTCCCCACTTAATGCCTGTTCCCTTTTGCCGCCTGGCGCTCGCTCTCTTTCATTCCTGGCGCTCTAGATTGTAAGCTCCCCGAAAATAAAAAAAAGTGATACATCACAACAGAATTTTCTTCCCGTCAACCATTGCGGCACAGGCCCAAAAAGTCTAGCCTGAGAGCTCAGCCCCTTTCGCAATTTGGCCCGATATCCCCTAATTTGGAATTGGGGACAGACAGATCCTATAAGCCAGGAACATATCTCCGTACTTACTTTTCTTTTTGGCTTTGCGAAGTAGCCGCGACGCCACACTTCCAACCATTTGGATTCATGCGATGTGAGAGCCCGACAATGTGGTGTGGCAGCTGTCCTGCGTCGATCATGGAGCCTTGTGTATGGTACGAGACCCGTTAGCGTTATCTCAAAAGGGAGATTGGTGATAGAGTGCTCTGGACAAACGCCAGACACGGCCCATGCCGCGTGTCATCGTGTATCGCCGACCTAGATTGTACCGCTATGGGTGATCTATAGAGTGGCTGAACCCGATATTTGTTGTGGCGGTCATCGTGATAGTGGGGAAGATGGACGATCTGGGTGATGGGTCTGCATGTGCGATAGATGCCACTGAGGCGGCGTCAATGTAAGTCGACCCGTCCCTTGCTATACTGTTCTCAATTGGGAAGTGTTAAGATGTATGATCCCGGGGTGATGCAATATTGTGCTCACTGCGGAATGAAGGAAAGATCAAGGGCAGCGCAAGGAATGTGATGAAGGGGATTCGCTTCTCGCTCTCGCCCTGGAATTGAGCGTAACATAGAAAACCTGCTTTGACACCATGATGATGCCATGATGCTGTACTGTAGGGCTCGGGTGGACTTCGGAAAACCAGATGCCCAATAGTTAACAATATTCCTGCAGATGAGTTATCCCGAGTACGAAGTCAACTCGCCAGGCTGTAAGTTCTACGTTATGAGTTCACTTGTAAAAAAACTTCACCGTCTTTTGCGATGTTCTTGGGCAACAATAACCGCGGAGGTCTAATTATCGATATGGGCTACATACGCAACACCGGTCCAAATCGCAACGGGGCATCGAAAATCCTCGACGATCGAGGTCGGACAGCCTACCGACGATGCAGACGCAAATGGCGGGACTGCGAGAACAATGCCCATGTCGAGGACTTGCAGGGGTTGTAGTATACGGGATGCCAAGAACCAGTGATGTGAGTGCTTGAGACGCGATATCAGAGCCTCTGCAGCAGCAGACAATGCAAATAATGCAGCCAAGAGACACACCGCTTCATATCAACCATTCTACCAGGCTATTGATGCAGGCGGGACACTTCATCTTTGTTTATCACTCCCGATTGCCCAATCTGGCGAAAATCGGAAGCAGGGATCTGATTCCCCACCAGACATGGATGATTCGGTTGGCTGCAGTAAATGAAGCCCGCTCACATGATCTATAGATTGGCATAGATGAGACTACGGATCAACCCCGGCTTTGTTCGTTGGGTCGCAATCTTCCCACCCCTCCGAACAGTCCGAATGGATATCAAGGTCGACACGAATGTCGCTGACGGAACTACGGCAGCACACAGTCGCGTGATGCATGCCATGCGGAGATGACGGGCTTTCCAAGGTCGTGGACAACAGGCGGTCACCGCTGCATCCGAGTGCACCACGTCAGGCCTTTGGGCGACGACAGTGTCCATGCGAAACCTTGGACAACTTTGACGGTTGTCATGATCATTCTGGCCAATCGTCCCCCTAGTTGGGATGCAAAGTGCACTGCGATCGATGCATGAAATGCATAGAAGAATTTGTCAACGCACCCTGCTTGTCAGACCGGAGCTTGTGTTGGCCCATTGTCACGGTTACCCTCGACTGGAGGTGAGATAGTCCACGAAAACAAATCGCCGTGTTGTTTGCTTGGCCAAAGCAACATTACGATCCGGTTGTATGTAGGACTGACCGTTTGGAAGAATCGAGGGACTGCAGGTTGCAGAAGCCTTTGGTTCAGTTCACAATGGCTTGCTCACACCGTTCCTTGAGTTTCCTTGTTGAGCATACCCTGAGAGGCTCAAGCCGATCAGTAGTATGACGTTTCTGATTTGTTTCCCGATCCCTACTACTGTCTCACCGGCTTTTCAGTTGCCCCTCCATCGCGTGGCTCCAAACACACTTCTGTCGTACATTGCACATCAAAAACGGAGTAAACTACCTGTTGTATTGTTACAGGGGTTACCAATAATAGGTTCCACTTGTGGCACCCAGCCCCTTGGGTCCCCTTCTGCTGGGTCGGGACTTTACCGACTTTTGGATATATGGAATTTACTTGCCTTACAACCCGATTTGCACAACTAGAATGTTGGCCGATCGGGGTGGCGGGATGGCGGGATATAATCCGGTGAGATTTCGCCACATTAGCTGTTCTGTATGTGCTGGGATTGTGTGAAGGGCGGGAAAGGGGCCATTGTTTACTCCGTCATGATCGACTCTCCAACGGCCAATAGACGAGGCTCGGAAGTGTCGGTGAATTTATGACAAGTTCAGCTGATTCTTTGGTGTCTTCGAGAAGCCCCGAAACTGATAATCTAATTACCGGTACCAGTCATGGTGTAACTTTTTGTGGTGACAGGACGATCATCGGATCCTTCATTAGTGTCCGTCAGACCAAGGTTTCAATAGCTCTTTCTTCAACACGGGTTCAAGTGGTCCCAATGGGACGGGAACCGAGCTATACGTCCCACGCTTGAATTTTGGGTTCTGGGAAGTTTGAACTGAGTTATCCCTTTTCCCCCTGCGCCACTAGGAGAGAGAAGGAGAAAGTAGGCATTATCCGACCCACTGCACTGGATTTTAAGTGACATCTTTTTTGCATTCAATGAAAATTACCAACCGGGGAACACGGAACCCGAATGAATGGATAGACTAGGGAGGTTTTCAACGGTTTCGGCCTTTGTATGTGTACTTCTATCATCTAACAAAAATACCTCGGGACAATGAGCGGGATGGCTCTCAATACTTCGCACCAGGGTTTCCCCTTCCTAGATTGTACACCGCATCTTGTTTCCAGAACGTTTAGGAACCTTCGGATCGCACTTAACGCGAAACGCGGCTTAATATTGTCTCTAGTTGACAAGAGCTCCAATTTTCTAGATCCAATCAATGAGTTCATCCGACGACGTTCAGCTGTAACGATTTTATGGGGGAGTGCCGATCCTTGGTGAGTTCATTTCTCTTCCTGACCATCTGGAAAAGAGCGGAGACCGGCTAGCTTTTCCTTGATTTTCCGCTGTGTGGAGAGTATGACGATGTTAAATTAGTCCAGGTCTGGGTTGACAAAGAAAATCACATTTTCAGTTTTCAAAGAATCAAATAAAAATATTTAATTGCTCCAGTCCCTCGATCTTTGTCTAAGTTCATACTAGCACTAGGTCTCGGGGAGGCGCAGAGTGAGAAGGATGCTAGATCTATCATCTCACTAACTCGCACTAAAACCACCCCACTGGTAGAACAGAAAAATTCAGCGTAAGCCGATCAGCCCGCCACAGCGTTCGAAGACACTAAATGTAGGCCTAATGCTGTTCCCCGGGGCCCGGGGCTCAGGGCCGTGGGTCTCTAGAGACAACTAAACAGGATTTGGTATGTATCAGCCTTTACCCTTTTTGCTGGATCTGGGGGATGGATCTGTCGAATCAAAGGAGGTGGGTAGAGTGTACTGAAACTTTGACTTTAATTATTTCCACTGTGCTAGTGTTACAATCCAAAATGATCTGATCTGATCCCTATCAATCATATGTCCTTTTCCCTTTTTTTTTGCCTTTTTTTTCTTTCTCTACCGGAACCCTCACTGGTTCCCCCCGTGGAAAGGAATTAAATAATTAAATCTTTGTACCTCACTTCGATTCCTCGTTTACCCATTGGTTCCACCCCCTTTCCTTACCTCCGGGGTGCTTCTTCCGTTTCCCCCTCTGAACGGAACATGTCAGGTTTCTACATCCCCGATCCACCCATAATAAAAAGGGTTTTATTTATTAAATAAAATTCAAATAATAAATCTAAATAAAATAAAAAACGAGACCCACTTCGTTCGTCTTTATCCTGATCCAATGTTTGCTGCCATCTGCATCCTGTACAGCTGTAACCGAAATGTCTAGTTGTGATGCTGAACGGTTGACGTTTTAGTTCTTTGGCGCCTGATCAATCTATAGACCTGTCCACTGTCAACATCTTATAATAGCTTCCCCTTCCCCCTCCAGATTTTCCCTTCCTTTCTTTGGAATGACTCTCTCTCCCTTCTTACACCTCATTGATTTGCTTTAAACTCTACCTATCCCCCTTTGCCGCTCCCATTGGGATTCTTTATAGATCCCTTTCCCATTCTTGAACCCTGTCCCAGCAAAGCCCGACTTTCGAAATTATTGTGTCGATCGTGTTATATTTGTCAATCGATATAAACTCTCCGCCAAAAGATTGTGTCAAACATCCCTTGCAGGTGTCTCATAGTCTGTTGGGACCCTACGTTATCGGATACCGATTGAATTTCAAACCGCAGGGGCAGCAATGCTGAAGCCCTAAAAGCAAACTCGATCTCCTTGCTCCGAACCAGCTATTGCATTCTCTCCCTTCCTACCCTGAAGATTAACTCCGGGGAAATTGAGACGAAACACAAAAGCACCCTTTCTGGTACTTTTTCCACTCCCTTCCGGCACATTCAATCTACCAATCTTGAACGCGGAAGTGGGGTGTATCTACGCCTCTTGAAAGTTCCTTTTCTCAGCACATTTCGACTTCGCATCTTCACAATGTTTCAGCTACCAGCTTGTCTACAGGGCCGGCGATCCCGCAATGGCTCTGACGATATGTCTACCTTTCCAATCCGGCAATTGTTCGTGTTAGGTAAGTGTGGTACTTTTGCGCATCGCGAAGTATGAACAGCAACTTATATTGGCGATGCGCCGCAACCTCTATAAAATAGAGAGCTCGATTGCTGACGCCGTGATACAGCCCTCGTCCGGATCTGCGAACCAATTGCTTTCATGTCCATTTTCCCATACGTGTATCACATGGTCGAATCATTCCATGTGACGGATAACGACCGCCAAATCGCACTCTACGCCGGCATGATCACATCCTCGTTCACTTTTGCTGAATTCTCCGCGGGTATGTTCTGGGGCCGTATGAGTGACCGGATTGGCCGTAAGCCAGTGCTCATCATGGGCCTGGTGGGCACGGCCATTAGCATGGTGGTCTTCGGATTTGCGCCCAACCTGGCCACGGCGATGATTGCGCGCGCCTTGGGCGGCTTGTTGAATGGCAATATCGGAGTGCTTCAGACGACGGTTGCGGAGATCGTGACGAAGAAAGAGCACCAACCCCGAGCTTATTCGATCATGCCCTTTGTGTGGTGTTTGGGGTCGATCATTGGACCGGCTATGGGCGGCGCTTTGGCCCAACCTTGCGACAACTATCCGGCCCTGTTCGCCCGCAGTACGCTGTGGGACAAATTCCCGTTCCTGCTGCCCAACCTGGTGTGCATTACAGTGCTTGTGTGTGGTATTGTGGTCGGTTTCCTGTTTTTGGAGGAGACTCACCCGGAGAAGAAGCACCGACGTGATCCTGGTCTCGAGCTTGGTCACTGGTTGGTCAACTTTTGCTGGGGCTCGCGCGTGCAGCTTCCTGAGGATTCCGAAGAGAAGTACTTCGCATATGAAGCGGAGTATGAGAACGCTGCATCGCCTTGCCTTGATGCCTCGGATGCGGAGAGTGACTTGGAGGGACAGAAGAACCCTGCCCCCAAAGCCTTTACCCGACAGGTCATTCTCGCGATCGTTGCTTACGGCATCCTTGCGTAGTGAGTTGGCCATCCGATCAATCCGATCTATCCAATCTATTCCATACTGACCTTCGTGTAGCCACAGCGTATCGTTCGATCAGCTGATGCCAGTTTTCCTGAGCACTCCCAAGTCCAATGACGACGTGGTCCTACCCCTCAAGTTTACCGGAGGGCTTGGTATGGCCACGAAGACCATTGGTTTCATGCTTGCCGTGCAAGGCGTGTACTCAATGATCGCCCAACTGTGGCTGTTCCCTTTCGTGGTCAAGCACTTTGGTACTCTACGTACATTCCGCTTCGTGCTGCTTGCCTGGCCCCCTCTCTACCTGGCCGTGCCCTATCTTGTTCTCCTTCC